GAGGTTGAGGTCGACACGGTGTTTTCGGCATGCGAGGAAGGCGGATCTGTAATCGTCACTACAAGTATACCAGAAAGAAAAAGCCTTAAGTGAATAAAAAGTAACGACGAAAATGAATAACGTAAACGCACGCCTTAATATCCCCCCTAACCCTCTCCAACACAAGAGGCCTCGGCATAATACTTTCCAAATTGCCCCTCGGCATCTGCAGCACCAAACTCATCATGCTCGGCACCGCAGTGACGATCCTTGCGCCCCGCTCGACTTTCCTTCGTTCGATGCCCAGTTCCTTCTGGACTTCCTCTGAGAGTGCGATGCTTTCTTCGGAGGATTTGGCGAGGAGGGAAGCAAGCGAGGACAGCGAGATGTAGGCAGATTCGTGTGCGGGGGAGGTAGTGGTGTAGATGAGATAGGAGCCGGCGGTGATGTAGGAGGAGCAGGCGGGAGTGAGTTTTATGGAGGGGGAGGTTTCAGTTTCCTCGGGATGCTGGAGGGTCGCGGAGAGGGTTGTGGAGGAGAGGGAGATGAAGAGGCATGTTGAGCTGGGGGAGTCGGATCTAGGTGGGGCGATTGATACGCGGGTGACGAAGGGGGAGGGTTGGGGGAGGGTGAGGATTTGGGTTGAGGATTTGGAGCCTAATATATGAGGTTAATCGCGGATATGATACGATAACGAAAAAGAAATAACACACAAGCAGAAATATTGCCTTGCTCATCAGCGACCAAAAACGCGTCTTGCTGTTGTTCCTCGCCTTGCACATCGCCCACAACCGCGTTCCTAACAAATCGAGACTCCCTAGACGGAGCCAATTCAACCCGGGCATCCTCATCTACGACTCTGCTCCAAAACTCTCTTTCCTTCCTTATGATAACCGACGTTAAAACATCATATCCATATTGCCCGTCAGATATGACGCTAACAACGAACGAACTTCCAGACCGTCGAACGCTGATATCGCGGTAAGGCGGTCGGTTATCTTCGCGAATCGAGCCGGACCATAGAAGATCGACAGAAAGGGCGACGCGTTTGCCTTTAACAGGCTTGGTATGCGTTGTGATAGCGTATAATGCGACGTTGCCTGTTATAGTGAGGACGGCGACGATGTCGGTGGGTTCGGCGGTTCCTTCGGAGTCGGATGCGAGGGCGATAGCGATAGGCGGAGATTTCCATGGTAGGTCGAGGCGGTAGGAAGACATTGGTGGAGGGACGTTTTGTGTGCGAAATGGTGTGAGGAGGAGCGTGTGCCCGTCGACTACGGGTGTGAGGCCTGTGTCGGATGGGGAGGGGAGGGAGGAGGTGGTTGTGCCGGAGGTGAACTTCATGACAGAGAGGGATTCTAGAAGAAGAATGAGTACGAATACGGGTAGATAGAGGATAGAGGATGGACGTACGGTTTTGGCTGAGGTAGAGGATGGAAGGGTCTTCGGGATGCCATGAGACGGAGGTGAAGGTAGTGGAGGACGAGGCGGCTGTGGCGGGGATTTCGAGCTTGAGATACCAGTGGTAGTTGCCGGTTGTCCATAGTTGGACTGAGACGAAGGATTAGACGGGAAATATGATGGGATGTGGGGCAGTACTCACCGGTATCCTCGCCCTCCGTCTCCAGCCACACACTCAGCACTGTCGAATCTGCGTTCCAATCCAATGCCTTGATCATATATCCCCATTTCAACGCGATGCTTCCTTTCGTTACCGGTTCTCTCAGCCCAAACTCTCCGTGCCGCAATCCATTCCTTTCGAAGAACACAACGTCATGACGACCCTCCTTGCCTTTCCCCAACGCCCATTGACTCTGCTCTTCCCCCGTCAACCCTGGAACTTTCCCAAACCTCTGCGTCGCTGCAATCAGTCCACCATTAGGACGCCAGGCCAAAGGATGTTCCAAGCCCGGAACGTCTTCCATCGTGTTCTGCAGCTGACCTTCACCGTTGTACACACGGACGACACGCTTGGGCTGCAGAGGCGACTGGGGCTGCGAGACGGACACGGCGAAGTATTGTCCGTCGCCACGCCATGAGATCTTGGGCTGAGCGTCGTCGTCTGGCGTGGTAGTGAGCTTGTCGGGCGCGGTGGGTGCTTGGGCGGCGGTCTTGCCCAAGGAGCCGTGGAACTGCGTCGATTTGGAACCCCACCCGACGTTGATGGGTGCGTTTGCGCCGTAATTGAAGATTATGATTGGAGAGGAAGATACGACGTCGAAGGAGGTTGGGTCCATGAGAAGGAGGGTTGGGTTTGAGGACGGGCCGGAGACGATGGTGAGGAGAGAGGAGTCGGGCGAGAATGTAGCGGTGAGGATTGGAGTGGGCTCTATAGTTCCGATTGTATCTAGCATTGCGGTCGCTGAGGGTGGTCCATCGAGAGGAAGAATCGAAATGTCGCCGCAGCGAAGAATAACGCAGAGTGTGCGGGTTTCTGGCGCGATTGACAGCAAGACGACTTGCGCCGTTGTCGAGGGTTCTGAGAGGGGAAATACGCCCTCTGCAAATGGAATCTATAGAAAATCAAACAATGTTCATAGGAGACGTATTGAATCAGACATACCAACGTTTGGTCCTCGTCGACCTTCCACACCTGCACGTTCACGTCTGCGTCTACTTTGGCCTCAGAGGCGATATAGGTCGTATTGTCGTCCAAATCATATGTACTGCAGCGTATAAGATGCGCAGGATGGGTAGCTGGGACCGTTAAAGTCGAAGCGGACAGCAGACTGAGGTTCCGCATATTTACAGCAGGAAAGGTGTGACCTTCGCGTGACTGTCACCCGACAATCTGCGGGCGCCCATGAACCCTTGACTCCAAGTTGCTTGACTACAATTTCTTCGCGCAACAAGTTCGCCATCGCCGCATTGGATTGTGAAAAGCTCGGTATGTGGTGTTTATCAGTAATAATACATTTTATACGGTTACTCACTTTGTTATAAAGCCCGTCACTTATTCAGGGGAATAAGAATGTGAGGAGAACAGAAGCTTGCCAGCAGCCAGAAGCACGTCTTAACGAGATGTCCTAATAAAAGCCAGTATCCTAGGTTTCCATCGTTTTATGGCATGAAGAAGACAAATGCACCCATCTTGATTCTGGGTTCCTGCACCCATTAGCATCAGCCTTTTGGAATTCCGCGAACAATCTGTGTTGGCCCTGTCCGTCCCTGTCCTCCAGGTCTTCCGCACAACCTAATCTGAGTATTGCACCGAATTTCATTGGCCACACCCACCCCTAATTAACCCTCGGCGATGTTAATATCTGGTAAGTTGATCATCGCACTGCGTCTCTTGGATTCTCCTTTTTTTAACCAAATTCCTTTAGACTTGCAGTTTTATATCTATACCAAATAGCATAGGTCCCTATGATCTATAGGGGTTGCGGTTGGTTTCTTTGATGGACCTCATCAAGAAAGCAACGTCGTTTAACTCACTTTCGAAGCCTCAACGCCTGCCTGCTTGGCACGGCGATACCATTCGACGTTCCGTATTCTTCCATTGATGTCGCTTACGCACATGGTTGAATTAGATAATACACTGTTATTGGACTTTCCTTGGTGGACGATCAAAATGCGTATTAATACCCCCACTCGAATTCGCCGGCGAGGAATAGCATGGTTGGCGATTGGCTCCTAACAATAGAGTCGTTCCAATAAACTCCACATAATTATTTCAGGAGATGTGGTTTGCATCTCTGCGCTGATGAGCCCGATTTCGCTACTGCTTGCTGGGCGAATGGAGGGTGAAAGCGGGCTATGCCTCGATATTATTCAATGCAGGAAAGGTACACAGCTATCTGGGGACATTGACTCAGGGTTTACGACTGCACATCTGAGAGTGCTTAACGTGAAGGATTCGACCACTCTAATGGTGGGCCCGGGGAAAATCTCGTCTCCGAGGCTAGTCGGACGAGGGGTACTTCTTCTTCTGACAGCATCCAGCCACACACAGAGTCCAAGAAAGAAGGCGAAATAGACCTTGATAGGCATTGATATTCCAATTATTGGCCCCCTGCAGGAAAATATAGGAATTGGTACGCCAGATAGGCTACGTCGGACAACGCGGACAGGCTAAGCGAGTCAGAGAACGGCCAAGGCCCGCAGCTTCCATCAATGCATCAAGACTCGGACAAGATCATCGCAGCGCTTTCCCACCCGGAATGCTCCTGAGGGGCGCATTTCCATTTTGTATAAATGCGGAGGGGCACGCTGGACAGTCATTCGCACTCAGTCTTCCCCCACATTCAGTTCCCCACATTCAGCTTCACCAGCTTTACTTGACATTAAACAATCGTTTAACATAACATGCCAGCCACCTTTGAAGGATTTTCCTCTGCCAGGCCTGGGGGGCCCATACGTAGCCGTACAACAGAAGAGCAGGTAAACACTGAATCATCCAAAATAAACAAATTAGAACTAATCATCGTCTTCATGATCGCTAGACATCATGGCCCAACCGTGGTGCATTCAGAGAAACGAGCTCCACCAACTTGAACAGGAGAGACCATGGGCCGATTGCTGAGAGGGTGAATGAAACTCTTAATGATATACCTTGAACGAAGATTGCTAATAGTACTTCTAAATCTATTAGGCTGAGATGTTAGACCCTGAAGAATTACCTTGGTAAATTACTACCTGGCCGCCTGTTGTGAAATACGGTTTCTCCGCTGGTTGAAGTACGTCACCTTCACTTCTAATACGTTATTATCCGAACTGACTTGTTTTACAGATTTATTTTTCTTTGGGTCTCATCGTCTCCTCTTCATATCTTCATCATCGATCTTCTCGCTGCAACCGGAATCAAGCATATGTACATTACCCCACCCCACGGCACTATTATGATTTAGTCGCCTTCATTTTTTCACCTTTCTTTCTGCCTCGGATACTCGGATACAATCCTGTACCTTACTGCGTCGTTTTTGGAATCAAATTCTTATGTTCCATTTCCGAATTGAATAAGAAAATCATTCACTGTCTCTCGCCTCAAAAAGAAAAGAAGAGAGAAAGCAAAAAAGGAGCCTAGCCCTACGGGGGGGTCAAACCCCCAACCTTGAGATAATAATTCATCCCGCTAAGGACTGCAAGTAAGAGTCTCACGCTCTACCGATTGAACTAGCAAGGCGATCAACAATGAGACGAGGGATACGTATACCGTCGGTGCCGACAGCGTTTGGAACACTGGGATTGTAAATGAGAAAATATCTTTTCGACCTCTTATATATGTAATGGTCTAACGTCATATTATTTCAGTGTATATGCGAAGCATATATATTCATTGTTGTCTTCTATATCATTTATTTTGTCTACGCACTCTAATAAATAATCCAGATAACACTCGACCCGAATCTACGGTACGGGCAAGTCGGTGGTGTGGTAGAATTGGGTGTCCACCGTGACGGCTCGCCAGGCCTCAATACAGTCTAAAAGACTTTGTTTGCAATTATCAGGTAATGCAATCCAGATATACCACAAAGTGCTCTGATCAATCACGGTATAGATCGTCAAGGAAACTGTATATTAGCATTTATTTCCAGTGCCAATGCCTTCAGGCTCGAAATATCTGTCGAACCCTTAATTGTTTGACATTTTGAACCAATATTTCGGTTACTGGAGCCCGGATAAAAACATACGCTTATTTGACGCATAAAATGTATAGGGTGTTAATCTTTACTTCACTGGTCTGTCTAAGAGATCTAGGATGGTCCCCAATATATCCATCCATATTTTGTGCTTACCCTGCAAATAACGAGCGGCATCCAAGTTTCTCCATGAGAAACGCGGGGGGGGTGTGGCTATCCGAAGTGAGCTCAGGATGACTTAAAGTTGCGACTCGTGAGTTTTAGGATCAAGTGGCATCGAAATCTGTTCGTCGGAGAAATACTTGGCATATCGACAGGTCAATGAGCAGTGCGGGTTAATAATACCCTAAGCTCTGGTTTGCACCACATACAAATACCTACCTATTCAAGGCGAAGATCATACGAATGGCCGCGGCATCAATATCCCAATCTTTTGACTGGTCACTGGTAATGATATTTAAAAATGCGCTGATCGTATTACTCTTGGTTCGTTATGGAAGATAACCAGCGTGCAGTGTTCCGGTCCATCTACGGAATTCCTGTCATCTACTAGTAGCGTATTCTTTTTTTCACCTTTGTAACTTTCCTTTCTTCAACTTTAAGAGAAGATTTCAAAAGGCATATGGACGTCCATCTGGCAGGATTTACTGTCAATTTTTATCAGAAATCTTGGGAATTCCGTGTCAATAGGAATAACGAGGACCGCAATGCCAGTGCTTTGAACAACACGTAACGTATATTCTTGTGACCAGACCTCTGTGGAATATCTGCGCGGATTCTACTTGCAGAAAAAATATATGGAGCAGGAACAGCTATTCTTTCAATGAGTTTTACAAATATTCCCCGCGGACAAAGTATGAATATCCGTCGATGCTATTGGTCAAGTACTCTGCAGCGGCTCGGGTAGGACCGTTATACGTAACGGAGTGACACGGAATATACCGTCGACCCAGATGCCGAAAGACAGAAGGAATTTCGAGGAGACTGACCATTGATTACTGATTATATATATTTGAAGCTAATTGTACCAAGATGTAGCCACGATTTCTAGTCGGAAATATATTACAGCCGAGTTTTAGATATTGGCGCACAAGAAATGTGGAACCAGACATTGATCTTGAATAAATGGACCCTGGAGGGACGGTATACTTGATTTATAGCAGACGCTGGACGCGATATACATCGGACAAAGCGGAAAAAGTCAGGCAAGTAGGTCGGAAAGCGCTCCACTGGCCTCAACAGCCATCAATGCAATGCATGAAGGCTCACCCCAGACTCCAGTATTGCTAGGGAGGCTGAGGCGCTGGCCGAGACCAATTCCGAATATTTCTTTACGGTCGATTTCATTTAGTTTTCTGTATAAAATCAAACCTAATCTACAAACCTTCCTTCACCACCCCATTCAGAACCCACTGAATCCCTGTGGTATCATATTCATTCATCCTTCACTCCTCACTCAACACACCTACAACATGTCATCTACCATTAATGCAGCCTCAAATCCCATTCGGAGCCGCACAAAGGATGAGCAGGTAAGCATACAGCGCACTAGTAATGGTATGTTACTGAGACGAAATATCGATTTTACTAGGCAGTGTGGCCCAACCGTGGTGCATACAGGGAATCTAGCTTTTCCAACAAGAGGTCGGAGAGTCCAGCCACTGCGAAGGTGAGCAACTCCCTGAATTGCATCTGAAAGATATCTGATCTTGTTTTCTTTAAGGCTGAAATGTTAGACCCGGAAGAATTGCCTTGGTAAATTCGACGCCTGTGGTGAAATAAGTCCTCTCCGCTCCTTGAAGTACGTCATATAAGTTCAAAGTTATTCTCTAAATTGACTTTCTCTCTTGACAGTGCTCTTTTCTTTATGGTCGATTTTTTCTCTGGGTTTTATCTTCGTCGTCGTGCTTCCAGCATCTGAGCTGTAATGAAGCATAGTATATGTACACTACCCCAGCAACCGGATTTAGTTGACTGCATTTTTTACCATCCTCTACTCCTATCCTGTACTTTACAATGCCGTTCTTGGGATTAAGAATGAATGTTTGAATTACTTTTACTTGTATGCACAACAATGCCCGAATTTCGGATGTGAGTGAACGTGTGATCCGCTGACCAATGAAATTATCTGGAAATATATTATACCCGCGTCAGCAACGAATGCCACATTCCCTTACTCCTTGAACATGTCACATTATAATACATAGCCAGAATATCAGTATGTATATTCCTTCCCTTTAATTCCATTAAAAAACAAAAAACACCTTTGAGTCGAATAGGAGAACCCTGGTACAAAAAGGAAAGAATGGGAAAATAAATAAAAATACAAATAAAATTGATGAGAAGAAAAATGATGAATGATAGAGAGGTCTGATGGCATGGGGAGAAAGAAATAAAAGTACAGATGCATTTCAAGTACCGATAATGGTCGTGTAACGACAATTGTGAGCCAATGCAGCACTCGGTGATCTACAGGCCCTTAGTAGGTGAAACGTCAAGAAACGTGTCATGATTCAGCACAGATATACGCCTGGGCTCTCTGAATCGATGAGAAATCGTGGAAGATGTTCGTCATGCGGCTATGTCCCATAGTTCCGGCGAAATTCCAAGTGACGTACGTTCGTAGCCAGTCCCGGTTGCCCAATGAGTTTTTCTAATACGTGCACATTCCAAATGGTCATTGAGCGTATCCTACGCATATGTAGATGATTCGGAATGATGAAACCACAGAAATATTTGCAGGTCAATCCGAGTGAAAGCAGGTGTTGTGGTTCGTCAATTCTTCCTACAATGATGGGTAGGATCTCTTCCGGAAGCGATAATATTCGCATTGAGCCTCTCAATAAAAGAGATACTTTTGAGATTTCGTTGATTGGCTTCATATAGAGTAAGTTGTCCGCAGAATAGGTCATAGAGGAGAGGGACAATACAGCATAAGAGTCTACCGTTAACCAACGCTATTCTCGCTTGACAGCCAATAGCATCGTGTGCGCATAACGGCGGCAGAATTTCTGCATATAGCCGTGGGAACATCTGTTTCGGATCGAACGTTCTTGAAGATGACGCGCCATCTTCAATACCTTTTCCGAAACCTTTACAACTGTGTATCCGTCCAATGTTCTATATAAGCCTCATACAACGTTCTCTCACGTTCCTTGAACATGTCCAATTCTTCAAAGACCTCATATCCTACTCGCCAACTAGGCAAGAATGGCCCTTTTGTTAGCGCTATTGGGCTGGGAACTATGGGTACGTAGTCCATTAGTTTTATTATTATTGATATTTATTGATATTTATCATCCTTATTTCAGGCATCGGAGCATTCTATGGTTCGACCGATAAGGATGAGTCTTTCAAAATGCTCACATTCGCGGCGGACAGAGGTGTAACCTTCTGGGATACAGCTAATGTTTACGGCGACAGTACGTGTTCGTTCCTAATAGCTTGCGGTCCTTCTTAATTATTCTTAACAGGTGAAGAGACCATCGGTAAATGGTTTGCAACCACTGGCCGTCGCTCGGAAATCTTTCTTGCAAGCAAGTTTGGCGCGTGGAATCCCGAAGCTGCGCCCAGCACTGGTCCTTGTTCCAAACCATCTCATATCAGAAAGGCACTCGAAACGTCCCTAAAAAAGCTGCAAACCACTACGATCGATCTTTACTACCAGCATCGCGTAGACCCCAATGTTCCCATCGAAATTGTCATCGAACAATTGGGCCAGTTTATCGAGGAAGACAAGATTCGCTACATTGGTTTGAGCGAGTGTAGCGAAGAGACGTTGAGAAGAGCCAAGAAAGTACCTATATATGGAGATAAGGTCGTCGCTGTGCAAATGGAGTTCGGACCATTCACGCTTGATGTGGAGAAGGGCAACTTCTTGAACACGGTTAACGAGCTTGGTGTTGCACTTGTCGCTTATAGTCCTTTAAATCGCGGGTTGGTAACCGGGAGGTACGTCAATTAATTCCATGTCCTTCGATATTACAAATTAACATACGAATTCATGTAGATTCCGTTCTCGTGCTGACTTCGATCCCACCGACTGGCGTCTCACTCAGCCTCGTTTCAGTGAAGAGAACTTTCCAAAGAACCTCCCATTGATCGAGAAATTCCAGACCGTCGCCTCGCAGACTGGATTTACGCCGGCTCAAGTGTGCCTTGCTTGGATCCTTGCTGAGCATCCCAACTGTATGCCACGTCTTCTTTACATATCAGCTTGCTTCTCACAATATTCTTTTCCGCTAGTCATTCCCATCCCTGGCTCAAGGAGCATTGCCCGTCTTGATGAAAATGCCCAAGGAGCTGAAATCAAATTGGCACCTGAATATGTCCAACAAATTCGCCAACTTGCGAATGAGGCTGATAACGTGGCTGGGAATAGATATTCAGAGACATTCATTCCCATGAGTGACTGTATTTCACGTGCTGAGTGGAAAGGAGAAACAGCGTGTTAGACGCAGCACTGGGTAATGTGACGTACATGTATTTGTTCCGAACCGCAACTTCTCATTCATTAAATAACGACCTGCTAACGAAGCACGCT